CACATGGCCACGCACAGAGGATATGAGGAAATGGCTAGAATATTGCTAATTAATGGAGCAGACATCAGCGCCAGGACGAAAAAAGGAAGGTACGTCCGCAATTCAGCAAGTATCACAGAGAAGTAGCTGACATGCCAAAAGGCTATGACTCCGGCATCCCAAGGAATACAAGGGACCACGGAACCCGCGGCCAGGTACAAGTACGCGACCTAATCAAACGCTGGCTTTTGAAGCTACGGGCAGGAGGTAAAGAAATAGTGGAAGAATTGAAATCAGAAATAGAATGCGTCGATGAAAAATTAGAAGACTATGAAACCGAAGTGCTGAACGAGGTACAAATTATGAAGATTACACCTACAACACAGCAGTCAATAACCTTGTTCGACATCTGGAGAGCCTCAGAGGAGCAGATGAGCGTCTACTGCAGGAACACGGAGTTCAGGAATATCCTAGAAAGAAAGCTAGAAAATACAGACAATTTCAAGGAAGAATTGAAAGAGAAAGTGAAACGGGCATTACGAAGAAAGAAGATAATCGACTCCGAAGAAGAAGAATTAGGAAAAGTGAAGATTTTACGCCATCTACAAGGGCATGAATTGGACAAGGTCATGAGTTACCTGGAAATAGAAGACTTGGTCAAAATAGTGAACCCGAAGAACATCTCAATCATTGAAGAAGTATGGTGAGAAACAGGGACACCAACAACGACCAACGACACCAGGGCATGAAACGATAAGTAAAATAGATATAAGTGATGTAATCAGTAATTGCTATTAAATCTTAATATTATAGATTTTCATAAGATATAGAAACCAATAGATATATATTTTATTTTCTTCTTCTCTCCTTTTTCTGTGCTGGAAGAGGATTGCATTAATCAAAATTATAACAATACAACATGCTAATTAAAAACACTACCCTCCGTACACACTATTTTTCATTTTAATTCTTCTCATCTCGAAACCCGGCCGGTAACTTTTTACGCATGAAATAATAAATATTCTTTAAGCTTATACTAAAAAGAAATTACATGTACTAATGCATTATTTGAGAAATGTAGTTTCTTCCAGAACAGAAATCAATATAAAAATAAAATAAGTCACATATGTGTATATGTATATATGTATACACATGTGTGTGAGCAGAAATTTTTTCTTTTTCCATAAAAAGATAGAAACAACGACTGAGTACAAAAAGGGGATGAAATGAGGGGTTTTTCAATAAAACTGAGATTTAATATTTAAATAAAATTTTTTTTTCTCGATATATTTTTTTCTATACCGATAAGGGTCAGCAATAGGAGCTGACTTTAAAATAGTAATATGTTGAAAATTACTAATTCAGCATCGAGAATCCCCGCTGACCCACATTTAAAAAGAATAGATTAAATAATACAAAAAAGAATTCCGCGAATGGTAATCGTTTCCGAAATGTAGGGGGTATGTTGTAATTTTAGGAAAGTTTTATTTCGTCGAGAAATGGCATTGGCTCAGAAGTTAGAATTTTGTAGGCTCATTTTGTGGACCAATAGCAGGATGAAGTTGAATGAGCAAAATCGACCGATTACTTTACAGGTTGGGGGTGTTTTAAAATCTTTTTTTTGCTCATTTGCAAAAAGAAATTATATAATGAATTTTTTTAATTTTCTATCTTCTTATATATATAGAAAAATGATCTTCTAGATGTAAAAGATAGATAAAATCTATCAAATTCATCATAAAATTCATTTAATTATTTTTAAAATTTAAAAAAAATAAAAAAAAAAAAATAATTTTAAGTCGTTAAGTGTAACTTAAATTTATCAAAATTATGCTAAAAATCACATAATTATCCGTAATTTAAGCTATTATTCGTTACCTTATGACACCGTTCTCAAATTATTTCCGAGGATAAGAAAAATCGAATCGAAGTATTTTTTTTCGATAAAACCCTATTTACCTATCCACAGCGGGTATGGGCGAATGGCGTTTTTTTTTCTCTTTCTATTTTACACATATAAATAATAAAAGTGACTCAATACCGCGCAGGCGAGGCGAATCAAAGAAGAAGAAGAAGATTAGGGTTGAATAGCGAAATATAAATTAAAAATAAAATTAAAAATAAAAATTAAAAATAAAAACGATACAATTAAATTGCGTGGTAGATACCACACAGAACTGTGAGAAAATGCTCCCGTGGAATCAAATTACCACCAGCAGCAGCAGCAGCAGCAGCAGCAGCAGCAGCAGCAGCGGTGACGAAGGAAATCAGGAAAATAGCAACATCAAAACACTGTTCTGGCAATAATTAGACAAATGACGATGTCACCAACAGCAGGAGCATTAGCAAGCAGGATGGAAGGCGGTCACTCAACGCAATAATTCACCTGAAAAACATAAAACAATGTAATATATAAAGGATGAAAGAAATATAGGAAAGAAACTCACCATTTACAGCAAGAAAAGTTACTCAGCATCAGTAACAGTACCAACAGCAATAGCAGCATCTGCGGCGGTAATAATGACAATAGCAGCCAAACAGCAACGGTAGCCACAAAAATATATATATTTTTTTTTGTTCTCTCCTTCTTCAAACCACATCAGGACGATCAACCTGAAAATTTTCTTAATGTAATAGTGAAATGTTATGAATAAGTTAAAGAAAATAACTCACCTGTAACGGCAGCAGTAGCAGGACAACGACAGTAACAGCGAAGAGACCGCCGAGAATTCCAAAACCGGAAGAAAACAACAGCGTTGAGGAAAACTAGAGACATCGAAAGGGAAACCCTGCTAGGAAAAAGGAAATCAAAAAAAAAAAAAAAACCTAAATAAATTAAACGATTTTCTTTTTCCTCAGACCAAAATCTTTATTCTTCTATTTAATTTGGTAGAACAAATAGAAATGAAGTCATGAGGACAGCCAGACGCCATTAGAAATAGGCTATCTAAAAAAAAAGGGGGGGGTAATAATATAAAATTACACGCATAATAATATCTCAGGGTGAAATAAAAAGCGAGATAAAGAAAAATACATATTGTTGAGAATAGATGGAGTTGACCATGGAGGAAAGACAATCAGACAGCTCCTCCAACCGATCAAGATTAAGTGAGGACAACACCAGGGGCTGAGTCTCCCAAATCGGCAGCTCAAGATCGATCTTAGCCGACCTGAGTTCGGGCGGCAAGAGCCCGTACTCCTCCTCCACATAGGCGACAGCACGAAGAGCAGTCTGAGCATTATCAGTGTTGATAATTAACTCGACCATCACGGCCAAGAGATACATGTCCTGGAAGAAGAATAAATAAGAAAAGAGAACACAAAAAAAAAAAAAAATCTCTCGTTCTCTCGAAAATAGTACCTCAGGGCTGCAATGCACAGCCACCCACTGAAAAAAGGTGGTGTAGCCACTGTTATGTCCAAGGGCATTTTTAAGGCGGTAGCGTAAACGGTGGAGATTTGGACTAACAGTTTAAAGAATACGCAACGGAGGTTTTAATTCCGTTGTTTATTTATTTTTATGGGACGTTTTCGATGTACGAATTTACTACGCCTTCGTTTGAGACTGATTACGGATTTTTATTAAGAATATATGTACTTACTCTTTGCAGGATTTTTAGTTATTACCGGATCCGTGATTCCGGGGCTGCTGTTAGCGCCTTTTCCTAGTTTGGACCCTCTGATTGGTCCTTGCAGCGGATGGATTTGGATGGGATTGGGCTGCTTATTTTACGGGCTTCTTATTTTGTGAAATGAAGTGATATAAAACTGATTTCACTTTTATTTAGATTTATTTAATTAACACTAAAACTTTTACACTTTTACAAATTTTATTTTAACGTAATTTAATTTAATGAATTTTATTAATTTGATTGAGCTAACGTCCTCCAGTCCCCCGTAGGGTAAAGTGCGCAAAACTAGCTTTTAAGAAAGGAATTTTGAATAAACTTAATGACCGAATTCTCGCCTAAGTGCAGAGCAAATTAGAACTTTGAGAATTCCGGTTCTCTATAATTATAATTAAATAATAAACAACTAATACGTGGCCTGCCGGTTAAACCGCGTCCAAACTTCTTTTAAGTGCAGTGCAAATTAAAGCAAAGGACTCTACAAGGCACGGGCCCGTCAACTAAACGCGGAAGTCGAATTAATTAACAAAGACGAGGCGTTGGCTGTTGATCGCCTTTTTAAATACTCGCGGTGCTGAGTTTGCAGAAGTCCCCGCTAGTCAACCAGCAGTCACGTAGCTTATATTTTATTGTGGCTTTCGCGCATGGAGAAGTCTTTCATTTGCGCGGCTGATTTAAATTTAAAAAAAAAATGCGGGTGGACATAACATTTCCCCAGAAAAGCGAGAAACTAGTATAGTTTTTCGGTTTTCGTATGGCCACCTTCTCCATAAGCGAGAGCCACTTACAATCTTTAGATAAAATTATTCTTAACATAATAAACAAGTAGAGAGGAAAGTCATCTGGCGCGAATATTTAAGTTTAAAATTATATTCTAATCTCGCGCAACATTTTATGCTGACAGGTAGCTAATCGTTCTCGCTTCTCGATTTCGCGAAGCCGTGTCGTGTGTCAGTATTCTTTCTGCAACGAGCGATCTAAGTTCAAGTTTTCATCTATATATAAAAAGAAATTTTCAAAATGTATCCAATCAATAAGAATTTTGAAGGGTATGGTACATGGTACCAGATGGTTCTGCGTGTTTACGGAGAAAAGGTAAGCCCAAATTTGATATATATGTATTAGGAAGAGAGAAAGAGAAAAGAAAAAGAGATACGGGAGAAATAATAAATTCTTTTATCGACAAAAATTTTTTTTTTCTCTCTCTCTCTCTCTTCTTTTTTTTTTATTATTTTAATTTTCTTTATTATTATTTATAAATTTTTTGTGCTAGGATATAAGGTCGGGCATCCAGATTCTGAAGGATTTGGCACGCCCAATCAATCCGGCGAGGGGACTGCGTTTGGCGTCTCGCCTTATGAATCTTTTTGGGCCACTTCCCCCAGAGGTTTTGGAAGCAGTGACGTTCTTTTGCCTTCAAGGCATAGAGCTTGTCTCGGAGCCTTGGGAGTTTGATGCTGTGGTCGCTCCTAATAGAGGGGACTTGGAGATTTTGAGAGTTGCCTTGATGGAGGCGGTGTTCAACGGCTTGGTCACTATGTCTTAGTAGTAAGTAATCAGAGATTTATGGCTAATTAAAGTTATACAGGGTGTCCCAGAAGTCACGCACTTCCTTGTAGGAATCGAAAGAGGAAATTATTCTGAGACGAAAAGTCCTCAGCCATTTTTTAATCAGACGCATAGATAATTAATTATTAATTAATGAAAGTGACCAATCAAAAACGCGCTAGAGAAGAATAAAAATTGAGTGAGAAGGCAGTGGGTAATGCGAGAGTGAGACGCTAGAGATGCTGCCGGCTTCGCACGCAGTAGACCGAGAGTGGGGACGGACCGACCGTAGACGGCGGACGTACGTGATGCTAGATTAATGTGTGAGACTGTACACTAGTGTATGCAAGCGTTAGTGTGTCAGTAACAATGCGCGTATGAATGTAAGTAAGGATGTTTTTATTAATTAGCTACAGGCACAAAATTTTGTTGAATAAAACGGCGAAAACAGTAGATGCTGTTGGGAATTATTAGAGAGATTTTTATTTAAAAAAATCAACAGCAAGGCTCAAGCAGAGAAACTAGGCCGCAGTTCCAGGAATTTTTTTCTTTTTTTTTAATTATTGAACTAATTATCCATTAAAAAATCAGTAGCGAGGGTCAGAAAGAGGATCTGAACGTATGTAGCTGATTTTTAATTTTTAATTGGAATAATCAAAATAATTATTATTTAAAAAATCAGTTGTAAGGGATAGTAACAGGCTTTTGGCGGCTGTGATTGAATTTTTATTTGTAATGAAAATAATGAAAATAATTATTAATTAAAAAATCAGTAGCGAGAGTCAGTTAG